TGCCAGGTAGTGGGCTGTTTGATGTGCACCACAACCCCACAGTGGGTACTATTATCACCTCCATTTTCCAGCTAGCATGTTGTTGTTGTTGAGTCAGTTCAAACTTATAACGACCCTGTTCAGGGTTTCCAAGGAGCAGCTGGTGAGCTTGAACCGCTAACCTGTGATTTAACCTGACCTTACTGTCCAGTGCATTAACCCACAGCACCGCACCAGGACTCCATTCTAGAGAGCATACATGAAGCCTCACTAAATAATAGTGGCAGGTTCGTGCGGTGTGGCTTCAGAATCGGAGCTCTTGCTCTAAGCTCTTCTCTGAGCTCACAGAGGTCAGCATTGCTGAATTCTTCTCTAGAGAAGAGCCAGAACTCTAGAGGGCAGCTGTCCTTCCACCAGCTCCATGGTCCTGATGAAACCCTGGCTCCCTGGGGACCCCGTCCAGCGCCTCTCAGTGGGGGTGGAGTGTGACCAGAAGCCCAGTCATGTAGGCCGCAGGCGGCATGGACACTGTCCTCTCCCTTCACCTCTACCCTAAGAACTGGGCTGCCCTGGAGTCAGCTCTTACTAGATCAACTCTGCAAAGGTAAAATTTTGGGGAAATATGTGAGTTGGTTGTTAAATTCAACCATAATTTAAAATTCAAGTTGTATAAACTTAAAAGTCAAAAATTATATTGACAACAAAGGTAAAAAACACTGGAAACTCAACAAACACATACACACATGCAAACCCATTTCCAGAATATAGTGACCCTGTTAGGACAGAGTAGAACGGCCCTAGGGTTTCTAAAGCTGATATTTTTATAGGTACAGAGCTGCCGTATCTTTCTCCCACAGAGGGATTGGTGGGTTTGAACTTTCGAATAGCAGGCAATCACTTGAACCACCAGAGCTATACTTCATGATTATTTATTTTCTTGAGGTTACTTATGTCTAGTGCATCTGTGGGGAGTTCTGGTGTGCCACTGTGGGATAAACACTTGACCTCAAGGTCGGCGGTTCAAACTCACCAGCCATTCCTCAGAAACCCTATACAGGGTGGCTGTGTGTTGGAACTGACTCAACAACACTTTACAACAACAATAACAAGTGTATTTGTAAATGGAAATACTATACGGGGCTGTTGCTGGGCATCTCTTCCCAACGGCCCTTTGCTAGGAATGTTCACAATACAGAAATTGGCAAATGCTACAAATCAGGAGCTCTCCCCTCCTCCCCACTTAGAAATCCAATTGTTAAGCAGTTACAAGCCTGAGAGTCAGAGGAGGCAAAATGTAGAACAGGGAACCCTTTTATCTGCCAAAATTTATAACATCATTTGTGGGCCGTATAAAATTATCACCTTAAAAATTAACCTGCTGTATTTGGTCAGACATTTCATTAACTCATCCCTGGTGTGGCGCCGTAGAATCAGCACTGGGCTTGGAAGCACAAGGTCCACAGTTCAAACTCACCAGCTGCTACTCGGAAACCCTCTACAGGGTCGCTATGAGTAGGAACCGACTCAGCTGCACTTAACAACAATGTAACAGCTGGAGTCCTGGTGTGGATAAACACTTGACCATAAGGTCAGTTTGAACTGAAAGGTGGGCAGTTTACTCAACAACTGCTCCTCAGAAACCCTATACAGGGTCTTTATGGGCAAGAATCAATTCAATGTCACTTTAACAACAACAATGTGGAACTGCAATTAGTTGCCTTGGCAGGGTCAGACCAGATGATTTTGCAGGTCTTATAAAGCTGGACAGTGAATAAGGAAGATCGTAGAAGAATTGATGCCTTTGAGTTGTGGTGTTGGAGGAGAATACTGAAAGTGCCATGGACTGCCAAAAGAACCAATAGATCTGTTTTGGAAGAAGGGCAGCCAGAGTGCTCCTTGGAGGCCAGGATGGCTAAGCTTCGTCTCTCATACTTTGGACATATTGTCCGGAGAAACAGTCGCTGGAGAAGGATGTCATGCTGGGTAAGGTGGAGGGTCAGAGAAAAAGAGGAAGACCCCTAACGAGATGGATTGGCCAGATGGCATCATGGATGGACTCAAGTGTGGCAGCGGTGGTGAGGTTGACCCAGGATCGGACATTGTTTCGTTCTGCTGTGCATGGGGTCACTGTGAGTCGGTTCTAACTCGATGGCACCTGACAACAACAACAACATATGATTTGTGAAAGGAGCTCTGGTAGTGTAGTGGTTACGAATCGGGCTGTGAACCGCAAGGTCAGCAGTTCAAAACTACCAGCTGTTCGTGGGAGAAAGATGAGGCTTTCTGCTCCCATAAAGATTTACAGCCTCAGAAACCCTGTACAGGGTTGCTATGAGTTGGAACCGACTTCACGGCACATAACCACCACCATATGGTTTGTGGAGTCCTGGTGTGGTGCTGTGGGTTAATGCTCCAGACTGCAAAGCCTTTTGAACTACAAGGTCAGTGGTTCAAGTTCACCAGTTGCTCCTTGGAAACCCTATACAAAGTCGTTATGGGTCGGAACCGACTCGACGGCACTTAACAACAACAATATGGTTTGTGGGCCAGACATTCCCCACCACTGCTGTGTAGGAACATGAATCCGGGCTCGCCTTCACCAGTCATGGGACCTGGGCAATTTGCCCTTGAACCTCACCTTCCCCATCTGCAAACAAGACTAAGAATGGCAGCTTTTAAAAATTTTTAAGTGAGCACTTACTATCTGCCAGGTACCAAATCCATGGGTCCAGTGAAGGCATGTCCAGTTACATGGCTCTGTTAAGAGGAGGAAATGGGGGTGTCAGGAAGATAAGCACCTCTGGAAAGGTAGAAAATCAGGTTAGAGCCAGGTTAGTAAGAACTGTGGTTTATTGTTGTTGTTAAGTGCCATTGAATAGATTCTGATTCATAGTGACCCTGTATAGGGTTTTCAAGGAGCGGCTGGTGAGTTTGAACTGCCGACTTCGCAGTTCAAACTGACCTTGCGGTCCGGTGTTTATCCTACAGCGCCACACCAGGACTCCTATAATCATGGCACCGGTTCACAGGGTGGTTTTGAGGATAATTACGGTAATGCGTGTGAAAATGGTTAGCATAGATTTGCTTCCAACTGAACATTGTTGTTGTTAAGTTCTGCTAAATCGGTTCTGACTCATAGTGACCCTGTGTGGGGTTTCCAAGGAACAGCTGGTGAGCTTGAACTGCTGACTTTGTGATTCAAACCCACTTTGCAGTCCAGTGCTTTAGCCCACAACGCCATACCAACCAAACATGTTGTTGTTGTTATGTGCCGTGGAGTTGGCTCCGACTCATAGCGACCCTGTCCAGGGTGTCTGAGGCTGTAAATCTTTATGGGAGCAGAAAGCCTCATCTTTCTCCCACGGAACAGCTCATAGTTTTGAACTGCTGACCTTGAGGTTAGCAGCCCGATTCATAACCACTACGCAACTAAACATAGTAAGCGTTAATTTACTGAGAGCTATAAAGTGGCATCTGGACCCACTCAGGTTGGAATTCCGACTCTGCTGTTTTCTGAGTGTGAGGTCTCCGGCCACCGAATCACTGTGCCTGTCCAAGCCTCATCTCCCCCTGTGAAAACCAATCATTACCTGGAAGAGCTTGCTCAGAGGACCTGAGATAAAGGATGCAGTGTCTGCCGAGAAGTGAGGCCTCAGTAAATGGGAATGATGGCTCAGGGTTATCTTGTATGTCATGTCACTCCGCGACAATTCTCTGCTCTGTTGAGGGAGGCTGGGGACAGAGTGGGAGCCAAAGGAGCAGCTCCTGGCAGGGTCAGTCCCTGGAAGGGCTTCTGAGGCATGAGGACACTGTTGCTAGGCTCTGGTTGCTAGGCGATGCACTGTTTCTCTAGGCTGGGCCACCTCCGGGAGGGTCCTGCTTTTCTGGAGTAACTCCCGCCTCCCGCCTCCCGTAGGCTCTTTCCTGGACTCAGAGCTACCTCAGCTGAGGGCAGGTGAGGGTGGGGCCAGCTCTAGTTGGGCCCCAGGTGACAAGACAATTTCCAGTAGAAGGTGGTGGGCAAGGTGGGGGAGCTGAGGGAGAGACCAGGGACCTGGGGGTGGAGGTGGGGTGGTGGTGGCTGGGGGTAAGCAACTGACCTGGGGTGGCCAAGAGTTCCCACAGACAGGAGCTTGTCCGGTCACTCCTGTCCCAGAGGAGGAAGGGTAGAGGTTAAGGTCAGGGGCTGAGGGGGTCAGGTGGGTCTGAAATGGGCTGTTGTGGTGGAGTAGATTCTGACCCCACGTGTTAGAGTGGAACTGGTCCACAGGGTTTTCAAGGCTGTGACCTTTTGGAAGCAGATCGCCAGGCCTGCTTTCTGAGGTGCCTCTGGGTGGGTTTGAACCACCAACCTTTTGGCTGGTAGTCAAGCTCTTAACCATGTGCTTCCTACAGGGACTCCTTACAACATGGAATAAAACTCACAGCTGTTGAATCCATATACTTAAGTGTATAGTGACCGTATTTTTGTTGTTAATTGCCGTCGAGTCGGTTCCCACTCATAGCGACCCTGTATAGAGTTTCCGAGGAGCAGCTGTTGAGTTTGAACCACCGACCTTGCGGTTCAAACTGACCTCGTGGTCCAGTGCTTTATCCCACAGGGCCATACTAGTTACCCTATAGAACTGCTCTATAGGGTTCCTGAGGCTGAAAATCTTTATGGAAGCAGACTGCCACAACTGTCTCTCATGTAGTGGGCTGGTGGGTTTGAACTGCCCAACCTGTAAACCATGGTGCCACAGGGCTCCTCCAAGACGAGACACAAAGACTTAATGATAAGGTGTAGGGAAGCTGAGATGAGCCATAAGTAAACGTGGTAAGCTCTGTCCCCAGTTTGCAGTGGAGGTGAAGAAGAGCAGCGCACTGGCGGAGGGTCCAGCTGGTTTGGGGGTCCCTGTCAGTCACCTCGGTGGTCTCCCCATTGGGACCTGGGTCAGGCAGGGGTTCCTTGGTGATGCTGGCCTGATGAACCTATTGTGCTTTCTCCCCAGGCCCCCACCCTCCGGCCACCCTGCAGCATCATGATGGGGAAACTCCCCCTGGGAGTAGTCTCCCCTTATGTGAAGATGAGTTCGGGGGGTTGCTCAGATCCCCTGAAATTCTATGCCACCAGCTACTGTACAGCTTACGGTGAGGGCACCTTGAAGCAGGAGGCACCTCCAGGATCTTGGAGAGGAGGAGAGCCCCTTTGTCCATGAGAGGGTCCCACAATGGGTCCATCCCTGAGTTCCCCAAGGACTTGTCCACACTTGTGCCTTCAGGCTGGGCCTACCGCTCCCTCCCCCCCAAATTCTATCTCTGTGATTCTGACCTTGTCCCCACTTCATTTCCTGCCATCAAACTCATCCTGACCACCACATAGGGACCCCCAGAAACTTCAAGGGGAATGCTGGTCTTGTCTGGGTAGCCGTAGCCTCTTTCAGCTCTGTTGACCCTTGGTCCCTCTCTGGCAGGTCGGGAGGATTTCAAGCCCCGATTGAGCATTCACAAAGGCACAGGTTACAAGACTAGCTACCGGCCCCTGGTCTCATACCAAGCCAGCCTTGATGCTCTGGACAACCCAGCCATGGGGTATGGCCTGCCGTGCTGGGCCTCAGCTCTCAGGATAAGTCAGGGCTCCATGGATGGGCCCTGAGACCTGGGGCACAGAGCCTGACCTGGCCTGGGTCTGGGTCCCTGCGTGACTCCGGCCATGGCTCCTCTGACTGGGTCCCCAAGGCAGGCAGGGTCCTGAGGTTTCCATGGGGAGGAGTGTGGGAGAGGGGAAGCCCCTGAGGAGAGGCAGCACAGCCCCCAAAGGACCAAGGCGGGTGGCCCTGGTGGTTCTAGTTGCTGTCCCCCACCCCCCAGGGAACAAGTCCAGAACAACTTACAGACAGTGACCAGCCAGAGCTACCGCCCGCTGGAGGTGCCTGATGGCAAGCATCCGCTGCCTTGGAAGATGCACCAGACCTGCTCTGGCTTTGGGAGGGAGAAGGCCAACACAGGGCCCTCCACCAAGGAGGTCAGTGCTGGGCCCAGGCGAGCCTCAGACGGGGGAACTCAGGATGGGGGCAGTGGGAGTGGCTGGGGCTGCACTGCCAACAGTTGGTGAACCACAGGGCAGAGGCCCACACACCTTTTTACCTTCGTCCTTCTTCTCAGTCCCACCATCTCCACCGTTCCCACCCCCATCATTATTTCTCTCTCCATTTCTACTCCTATCCCCATCACTAGCCATCCCCATTCCTACCCTACCATGACCTCGCCCTCCATTTCTATCCCTCTCCCCACCATTCTTATCCCTTCTCAATTCCCATTCTTACTATCCCGACCAACCCCCATTCCCACAGCTACCTCCCCTCCATTTCTATCCCTGTCACCACCATCATCCTGACCCCCACTGTCTCCACCACCTCTACCATCCCCCATCTCTGTCACCATTCCCCTCCCGTCCCAACCCCACCCCACCTCCTCTATCACCCCCGTCTACATCTCCAGGCCAACACCAGCAGCCTCACAACCCCCACTGTGCCAGCATCATTGTCACATTGACGTTTGCCATTACCATTCTGATCATCTTCATTTTTATTATCAGATTGCCATCAGCTTTAGCAAGGTTACCAATAGAACACATATTCATTCATTCATTCACTCATTCACTGAACACCTCTTCCCTATCTGCCACCACTCGTCTGTCAGTTAGTCGTACCGTGGTGGCTTGTGTGTGCTGTGATGCTGGAAGCTATGCCACCAGTATTTTATATACCAGCAGGGTCATCCATGGTGGACAGGTTTCAGATGAGCTTTCAGGTAAAGAGAGAGTAGGAAGAAGGAGGGATGGGCTACTTCTGAATATTCAATCACTGAAAACATTATATTGAATAGCCGTGGAACACTATCAGCACCAGAATATTGAATATTGAAACTTGGTGAAGAGCACCAGAATATTATCAGGTATAGTGCCAGAAGATAAGCCTCTCAAGTTGGAAGGCACTCAAAATATGACTGGGGAAGAGCTGCCTCCTCAAAGTAGAGTTGATGAGGATGACACGAATTGAGTAAAGCTTTTGGGACCTTCATTTGCTGATGGGGCACAGCTCAAAAATGAAATAAACATCCATTAAAGAATGGGAACATGGAATATAATCAGTGTGAATCTAGGAAAATTGGAAATTGTCAAAAATGAAATGGGACATATAAACATCGATATCCTAGGCATTAGTGAGCTGAAATGGACTGGTGTTGGCCATTTTGAATCTGAGAATCCCATGGTTTACTATGCTGGGATGACAAATTGAAAAACAATAGCACTGCATTCATTATCAAAAAGAACATATCAAGATTCATCTTGATATACAAACCTGTCTGTGATAGGATAATATCCATACACCTAAAAGGAAGACCAATTAATACCACTATTTTTCATATTTACACACCAACCACTAAAGTCAGATGATGAAACTGAAGAATTCTGTCAATTTCTTCAGATTGACATTGATCAAACATGCATTGAAAGCTACTGGTGATTGGAGTGCAAAGGTTGGAAACAAAGATGAAGGATCAGACGTTGGAAAATATGGCCTTGGTGATAGAAACGATGCTGGAGATTGCATTATAGGATTTCACAAGACCAATGACTTCTTCATTGCAAACAGCTTTTTTAAACAACATAAAAGACAACTAACTATATACATGGACCTCACCAGATGAAATACACAGAAATCACATTCACTACATCTGTGGAAAGAGAAGGTGGAAAAGCTCCACATCACCAGCCCAAACAAGGCCAGATTGTGGGACAGACCATCAATTGTTTATATGCAAATTCAGGCTGAAGCTGAAGAAAATTAAAACAAATCCAAGATAGCCAAAATATGACCTTGAATATATCCTATCTGAATTTTGAGATCATCTAAAGGACAGATTTGATGCATTAGATGCTAAAGACTGAAGACCAGAAGAGTTGTGGGATGACATCAAGAACATCATACAGGAAGAAAGGAAAAGGTCATTAAGATGATAAGAAAGACAGAAAAGACCAAAATAGATGTCAGAAGAGACTCTGAAACTTGCTCTCCAGTGTAGAGATGCTAAAGCAAATGGAAGAAGTGAGGAGGTACAAGAGTTGAACAAAAAATTTTAAAGGTCAGCTCGAGAAGACAAAGTCAAATATGATAATGATGTTATAATGAAATGTGCAAAGACCTGGAGTTAGGGAACTAAAAAGGAAGGACACGTTCAACATTTCTTAAGCTGAAACAACTGAAGAAAAAATTCAAGCCTCGACTTGCAATATTGAAGTATTATTTGGGCAAAATATTGAATGATGCAGAAAGTATCAGAAGAAAATGGAAGAAATACACAGTCACTGTACCAAACAAAAGTGGTCGATGTTCAACCATCTCAAGAGGTAGCATATGATCAAGAGCCAATGATCATGAAGGAAAAAGTCCAAGGTGCATTGGAGGCATTGGCAAAGGACAAGGCATTGGGAATAGATAGAATATAAATTGAAATCTTTCAACAAACTGATGTGGCAATGGAGGCACTCACTAACCTGTGCCAAGAAATTTGGAAGACAACTATCTGGCTGACTGACTGGAAGAGATCCGTATTTGTGACCATTCCAAAGAGAGGTGACCCAATGGTATACGAAAACCATCGGACAATATCACTGATATCAGTTTTACTGAAGATAATACAAAAATGGTTGCAACCATGCATTGACAGAGAACTTCCAGAGGTTCAAGTCGGATTCAGAAGAGAATGTGGAATGAGGGATATCATTGCTGACTTCAGATGGATGTTGGCTGAAAGCAGAGAATAACAGAAAAATATTTACCTGTGCTTTATTGACTAGGCAAAGGCTTTCAGATTGTGTGGATCATGACAAGCTATGGACAACATTGTGAAGAATGGGTATTCCAGAACACTTAATTGTACCCACAAGGAACCTGTACATAGACCAGGAGGCAGTTGTTTGAACAGAACAAGGGAACAAACAGTGAATGGTTTTAAATTAAGAAAGGTGTGCAACAGGGTTGTATTCTTTCACCATACTTATTCAGTCTGTATGCTGAGCAAGTAACCTGAGAAGATGGATTGTATGAAGAAAATCAGAATTGGAGGAAGATTTGTTAACAATCTGTGATATGCAGATGATATAACCTTGCTTACCGAAAGCAAAGAGGACTTAAAATAATTATTGATGAAGATCAAAGACCACAGCCTGCAGTACAGGTTGCACCTCAATGTAAAGAAAACAAAAATCCTCACCACAGGACCAATAAATAACATCACAATAAATGGAGAAAAGATCGAAGTTGTCAAAGACTTTAATTTGCTCAGATTGACCATCAACACTCATGGAAGCAGCAGTCAAGAAACCAAATGATGTACTGCATTGGCAAATCTGTTGCATAAAACCTCTTTAAAGTGTTGAAAAGCAAAGATGTTAGTATGAGGACTAAGGTGCTCCTGACCCAAGCCATGGTATTTTTCAGTAACCTCATAGGCATGTGAAAGTTGAACAGTGAGTAAGACCGTGGAAGAATTGATGCATTTGAGCTATGGTGTTGGAGGAGAACATTTAAAGTCCCATTGGCTGCCAAAAGAACAGACCAATCTGTGTTGGAAGAAATACAGCCAGAATGCTCCCTGGAAGCCAGGTGGCCAGACTTCATCTCTCAGACTTTGAACATAGTGCCAGGAGGGACGAGTCCCTGGAGAAGGATAGCATGCTTGGTAGAGTGGAGGGTCAGTGAAATAAGATGGATTGGCACAATGGCAGCAGCAATTGGGCTTAAACCTAGCAACAATTGTGAGGTTGGCCCAAGACTGGGCAATATTTTGTTCTGTTGTGCATAGGGTTGCTATGAGTTGGTACTGACTCGATGACACCCAATACCAACAACTTCCTTATCTGAAGGTGACAAATGCCAGGAGAAAAATATAAGTCAGAGGCAGCGGTGAAGGGTTGCAATTGCCCACTGGGAGAGTCAGGGAAGAACTTGACAAAAGAATCGAAGACGGTTAGAAAGTGAGTGATGTAGCTATCTGAGGGAAGGGAGTTCCTAGCAGTGGAAACAGCAAGTGCAAAGGCCCTGAGGCAGGAGTGAGTCTCATGTGAGGAACGACTGCATGGAAGCCCATGGCTGGAGTGGGCTGAGGATCTGAGGTCCTTGTGGGCCAATGTCAGGACGTGGGATTCTACTCTGAGGGCTATGTGAGTGCTGCAGGGCTCTGAGTGGATGAAGAGGAACAAATCAACAAGACTCTCATGGAGATTCCTCCGGCTGAAGTGGAGTTATTCTGTAGGGGTCAAGGGTGGAATCATGGCCATCCCCTCGCCCATCCCTGAAGGGTAATTGGCTGCTTCATCTCCCCAGGTCAGAAAGGTCCATTTCGACACCCAGGAGCACGGTGTCCAGGCCATTCCAGGACTGGAGCCCAAGGAGGTGCCCCTGCTCCACCAGCAGGAGAACAAGGGCTCCACGGAGAGGGAGAATGCCCGACACGTGAGTGGGCGACCAGGCCTAGAGCTGAGGGCTGGCCAGAGGGGCCGGCTTGCCTTATTTTCCCTCCTCCAGACATGAATTTCAGGGGCTCACCCAAGCAGCCGACTCAACGTAGCCTCAGGACACCGCAAAAAATGACAGGACAAAGGAGTTGCTATTCGATGTTTCCCCAAACAGAACCAAAGTGGTCACCACCGGCTTCCTTACATGTATTTTAAGACTTAACACCCAACCCTTCAGGCCTGGAACTGAACTCACCCTCCATGACTCAAATTTCAGCCAAGCAGTAGATAGGTATATGGTGGTGATTGTGTGCCATGGAGTCAGTTCTAACTCACAGCGACCCTGTATAGGGTTTCCGAGACTGCAAATCCTTACGGGAACTGAAAGCCTCATCTTTCTCCCAGGGAACGGCTGGTAGTTTCGAACTGCCGACCTTGAGGGACACACACTATAGCGTGGTCAATGATTTAAGATCAAAAGGGCAGCGTTCACCAGGGACAAAGCTCAGAAGGGTTGAGAAGGAAGGAGGAATGGAATTAAGGACCCCAGGGAGAAAGTGGGAAAGTGATGTTACATTATAGGATGAAACAAATGTGTCTGGACTGTTGAATGAGAAATTCACTCAGTTCATAATAAAAGTTAGTAATCATGGTAATAAAATAGTAACACCAAATTCTCTTCTTTTCCCCACCAAGCCCAGGGAAATCAATTGTGAAGGGAGTGTTCATTTTCTTCCATCAGCCTCTCTCCTCTGGTTACACACCTGCCTGGTCTAGGTCCTAGGAGCTCTGAGTTCCATTGCTCATTCCTGGAGCTCAGTGTAGCCTGTGACTTCACCTTCGTTGTCACAGGGGAACGGGACTCTCTTGATGCAATTCCTGGCTGTGTGGTTCCGTCAGAGAGGGATTCAGAGTACAGACAACCCAGGAACTGCTACAGCCACAAAACCCATCCAGACCCTGGCCTCCCATCACCCCATCGTTCTGTGTTCCAGGGCCCTCGCTTCATGACGTCTGAGTACAACGCCAGGTTTCTTCACGAGCCCTCCAACCAGCCAGGTAGGTCCCTATCTGAACTCACACTTTCCTCCCAGCCCCCTCAGGCTCTAGGAGAGGTCCCCAGGGAAGCCTGAAGCTAGGATCAAGAAAGTACCCATGGAAGAAAGAAGGTCGTGCGACTGGCTTGGGAGAGTAGTGTCTCCCAGGTTAACCGCTGTACTTTTGGGCTGCAGACCGTCAAAGAAACTTCATTGCTTAGGCTTCCCACAGCCTTCTCCTGGCCTCATGGCCTTGGCCCTTCTTTCGGCTCTCTTTTCTTGTTCCCTGGCTTAGACTCTGGAGCCCTTTCTCAGGGCCACTGATTCTGGTGGGTCATGTCTCCAGATCTGCCAAGCCAGGTGACTTTCCACTCACCTGAATTCCAGGCAGGTGGGGCCAGGGGCCTAGGGACACCATGGGAGGTTGTCTTTTGCAGATCTCTTGCAGAAGAAATCAGTTGGCGCCAAGGAGAAGACTGGCTTCACAGAAGAGTCCACCAAGAGCCCCATTGTCTTCAAGCCGCCCTCCCAGGCCATTCCTGGGGACTCTGTAAGTCAGGTTGGGCCCCACCTAGAATCTCAGGTACTGAAGGACCTCCAGTCAAAGGGCTTCTGGATTTTCTTTTTAAGTAATTTGTTTCTTTTTGTTGTTGTTGAGAATAGACGCAGCAGAACATACACCAATTCAACAATTTCTCCATGTACATATCAGTGACATTGATAATATTCAAGTTCTGAGCTCATCCTCACCTTCCTTTTCTGAATTGTTCTTCATACACACACACACACCATATATAAGGAGCTCTGGTAGCATAGTGGTTACGAATCGGGCTGTGAACCACAAGGTCAGCAGTTCGAAACTACCAGCCGCTCTGTGGGAGAAAGATGAGGCTTTCTGCTCCCATAAAGATGTACAGCCTTGGAAACCCTGTACAGGGTCACTATGAGTCGGAACCGACTCCACGGCACATAACCACTACCACCACATTAACACAGGCTCACGCTCCTGCCCCCCAAGTTTCCTGTCTCATTTTCTGAGTTTACAGTTGTCGGTTTGATCCCACAGAGACAGTTCTTTGAAAAGTTCAGTGCTTGAGACATTCTTTACTCACTAAGCTAATCTGTTGTTTGGGTTCAAGAAGACTTGGAGGGATTTATTTGGCCTAAGGTTCAAAGATTATCTCAGGACAGTTGTTTGGGGAGTCCATAAGTTTCCATGATGCTAAATGTCTGGATCCCACAAGATTTTGAATTTTCAAAATGTCTCTCTTTGGATCAGGATTGTTCCATAAAATCATTGATCAAAATGTTCAGTGATGATGAGTTTCTGGCATTTTCAAAAGTGTGAGCTGCAGGCTTTTAAATCCAAACTCAAGATGGAAGAGCAGTTTGTCATGGGGAAAACTACTGTTTTTGGTCTTACTCCCCCATTTAGCAGATGTGGAGAATGAGGCCACTCAAGACTTTAGACAAGAACCCTGGCCTGCTGGTTCCAATCAATGCCAGATCTTTCCCTCTCTTCTTCCCAAATCCTCCCCCTTCCTCATCCACCCCAGTTATATTCATTTGTACTGACTCCACCCCCTGGGTGATATAGGTGGTTTGTGCTTGAATACTAAACAGAAGTTTAGCAGTTCTAAACCACCCGGAGGTACCATGGAAGCAAGACCTGGCAATCTGCTTCCAAAAAGATGACAGCCTTAAAAATCCTAGGAAGTACCATTCAACTCTAGAACAAACGGGGCTGCCGTGAGTCAGAATTGACTCAAGGCTAGGGGTTTACTTTGTTTCCCCTCCTCTGTGCCCAGTAGGGAGAAAGCAGCTTCATTCACAACATGGGTCAAGAGGCCTATGGTTCCAACCTGCGGAGCTAACACTCCTCTGGGGGCTTTATTTTCCAGACTCTTCTCCCGAGCAGGAGTGTTACCAGGTCGGACTTTCTTCCCATAACTCACCCTCGTGTAAGCAGGAGCTGAGCTGGTGAAGGGAAGAGGACCCTGGTGGCACCCATGGCTGGACGTCCTCCTTTGGGGGCTGTTAGACGTGGCTCTGGGATGCTGTCGGGGTGGTGGGGGTGGGGTGGGTGGGACAATATGCTGCGGCCAGCAGCCTCTTTGTCTTCTCCAGGGAGATGAGGCACTCCCTGCGCTGACCAGAGTCTGCGATCATGAAACGGGCTTCAGTAGAGTGAACCAACGGATCCTGAACCCCAGAGTGAGTGGCCATGGAGGACTTTCCCAGAGAAGGCAGTACTCAGAACAAAGGTGTTCGAGAGGCTTCTTGGAAGATGTAGCATTTTGAGGGGAGAGGTACTGAAGGCTGGGAAGAATTGGGGTGTTTGGAGTTGTAGCAGGAAGTCCTCCAGGAAGAAGTTTAAAGGCCTAGAAAGTGAGAGATCTGTTCTGAAATAGCAAACTGGGCTGCTAGCCAAAAGGTTGGTGGTTTAAGTTCACCCAGAGGGATCTTGAAATAAAGGCCTGGTGCTCTGTTTCCAAAAGATCAGCCACTGAAAAGTCTGTAGAGCACAATTCTACTTGGGCACACATTGAGGACTTGTCATGAGTTGTCATCAGCTCGAGGCCAATGGATTTGTTGTTGTTTTTGATGGGGAAGGTCCAGGGGAAATGGGGTTGGGGGCAAGTTGGGGCTGTGTGTGTCTCTGCCTGCCCTTCCTCCACCCTTACTGCACGACTCTGGCCACCTCAGCCACCTTTTTGTGGCTCTGTTTCTGCAGGCTCCAGAGCGCAGCAGCATGAGTCCCTGGCAGCTCCAGCCACCCCAGTGGAAGCAACAGACAAACGTTGCCATGCTTGGTCGAGAGACGGTGGGCAACAAAGTAAGAGCTGGTGCACCCTAACCCCACCCCCAAATAAATCCTCCGCTTCTCCTGGTCTGACAATCCCGTCATCTGCAGGAGCCCACAGGGTTCAGCTTGAACAACACCAGCTATGTCCAGGGCCCCAGTGACCCTGACATGGATAATCGATACCTGACTACCTATAACCAAAGGTGAGACCCCTTCCCTGCCCAAGCCCATTTTACAGATAGGGAGGCTGAGTCTGGGACCAGGAAAAGAATGGGCTCACAATCCTGGAGAGAAGACCAAACTGCTTAGTGTGGATCCCTCCAGAATCGAATACCCAGCCAATGATCTGAGAGCCAGAAGCTTACCCGAGACGCAGAGGAGTGAGAGAAGAGGGTGAAAGAGGGAAGGCAGCAATTTCAGGGTGCTAATAAGTCAGATAGCCCACGAGAAGATTCTAGAAAATTGCAAAACATACAGTTCAGTTATTCCAGCCAAGAGCAAGACAACTGGGGACTTGCACCCCATTAGTTAAGAGTGGTTTCCTGGGACAACATTAAATTCCAGGTACTGCCTTGCTCAGGTAACCCTCTTCCCGTCTCTGAGCATTTTCTTATTCTCATCCCTCTCTGTTCCTGCACCAGGATCTTGTTGTCATTGTTGTGTGCCATCGAGTGGATGCTGACTTGTAGTGATCCTATGAGTGGCATTCTGGTGTGGCGCGTTAGGACAAGCACTGGATCGCAAAGTCGGTTTGAGCCACGAAGTTGGCAGTTCAAACTCACCAGCCGCTCCTCGGAAAATCCTAGGCAGGGTCACTCTGAGTGGGAACTGACTCGATGGCAATAACAACAACATTGTAAACAGTCTCATTGGTTTTTTAAATGTCCATATTTTGTTGTGTTTTTTGATGAAGGTTTACACAGAAGTTTCGATTCTCATTCAACAATTGCTACAAAAGTTGTTCAGTGATATTAGTTATGTTCTTCGCAATGCATGACAATTCCTATGATTTCTGTTCTCTTTGTTCCATTATTGAAATGTTGAGTTGGTGGAGAGGGTCGGCCACCTTCAGAAGGTATGGTTTGTACAGAGGTGAGGGCAGCCGCGATGGGGACAGCTGAGGGAAGAGCCAGTGTGCAGGCAGTGACAGAGGGTCAGCTGGGAGGGTCTTCGTCATCCTTTGAGTTGAACCCCTCCTCGGGATGGGGACCTGAGGCTCAGAGAGGAGCCACACAGAGATTTGTGGCAGATATGGGATTGGGGCTCAGTGTCCAGACTTCTAGTTCTGTGGCTGATCCTATTCCCACCGAGGGGGGGGGGGGCAGAGACTCACTCAGCTCTGTCCCTGTTCCTCTTTAAGCAAATATCCTCCTGAAACTCCAGCAGACCCTGACCTGGGCCATCTCTGCTGGGTCTCTTCCTGCTCCTGATGTTTGCCAGTTGTCAGTCCTTCCAGGCTCCCCCACAACTAGAGAGACTCTAACCACTGGACTCTATCCCATTTACCTTCCTGCAGCCCCTTTAGTAAGCCCAAGGTGGGCCCCAGTCTTACTCACCTTTGCAGACTCAATGGGCAGTGCTTGCCTGGGGAATACTGGTGAGATGGAGAAGTTGAAGGCCTAAAGAGAAAGGAACGGGACGGGGCCTCCTTCACTGCCCCCCATGCTCACAGGCTGGGGAGGAGACGCCATTTCATTATGTCTGATCCAAGTTCTGTAGACACACAGTAGGAGCCCCCACATCGGGGGAGGGAGCAGGTGGGCTTCCTGAGTGAGTTGCTCTTGTGGAAGAGGACTTAGGGCATGTCCAGCAGAGGGAATGGGGGGCCACAAAGGTTAATGTCTAGGGTCCACATGACTGGACATTTCATTGACAGTTAGGCAGAGGATCCCTGAAAGATTTCACACGGGGGCTTGGGGGTGGTCAGATGTGCACTTTTGAATACCTCCTGATGGTGAGACAGAGACAGGAAGGCTGGTCAGGAGGCCACAGGGGGCTCCACTGGAGGAAGACCCACACGGCCTGGTCTGCCACCCCAGCTGTGGCTGGCAGATGCGGGAAGAGCTCAGATGGAGATGTATTTAGGAGACAGAATCTCAGGTTGGGAGACAATGAGACTGAGCCACCCCGCATGACAAACTCTGCCCACACCCCCTACCCACCCCACATCCCCACTCCAGGTACTTCGAGAACATCCCCAAGGGGCTAGACCGCGAAGGTTGGACTCGAGGAGGCATCCAGCCCCAGAAACCAGGCGGCTACGCCCTCAACCAGCCGGTCACGCACATGGAGCCTACTCCCAACCCCACAGAAAGTCTGCGGCGTCTGCACCCCCACGTGGGAAGGTAGCCTCCCTCTGCCCTCCCTTCCTCCTCCAGTTCTGGCCTAGGTCTGCTCAGTCTAGTCTTCACAGCCTGAAGGCTGTTCCTTCTCTCTCCCCTCTTGCTGGCTTTGTCCATGGCTTCAATTACCTCTGTCCTCCCTCCCCACCTGCCCGGGGCCCAGTTTCTTGACATCCTGTGTGGAGGGAAGTCTAAAGATGGATGGGCCGTGTGGTTCCATCTCGTTAGTGACCTCTCTATGCTCAACCCAGTTCCATAAGCTTTATGTTTCATGACAATGGGCAGAATTGGCAAGAAGGTCTGTTTGTGCTTGGCCTCTGGCCACCGAGGGAGGGGCAGCAGTGAGAAGGTGAAGCCCACCTCCAGGCACTTGGAGGCTGCATCCATGCCCTCCTCATCCTTTCCTCTGCCTCCTTCACAGAACCCTGACCTGCGCTGACCCCTTCTACCGGGACACCCCTCACAGCAGTAATGTCACTCCACCCAGCTGAGCTAAGGACTGGGTAAGGGACCTGTGGAGGTGGCCACAGTGGGCCAGCCCTGCCTCCCAAGTCTTGGGCCTACAGGCTCTGTCACGGGGCCCAGCCCCAGAGTGTGTGGGCAGATGGGAGGTTGGGTACACAGAACCACCCAGGCACCCCTGAGACCTCACCTCTGTCCCACACAGATTTGCCACCTCAATGGGACAGGAGCCGGGCTACTGTCCCCACCCCCCAGGTTGGACTCCCAGCTACTTTCCTAATGAAATAAAGAACAGTAAACAGAGGGTGCTACCATTGTTGAGACACTGGGAAGTGTGGTTGGGGCAAGGGGGAAGCTTAGGGCCAGCACCCCTGACTGGACAAAACCCTGGAGACTCATTTCCTTCTCTGTGTAGTCCTCCCCGCAAGGCCTTCCTGTCTGATAAAGCGCTTGGTCAGGCCTGGATGTGGGGATACCCAGGTTGAGGAAGACAGATGAGACAGGAAGGCGTGGGGAGGTTGAGGGTCAAGTCTTACACTTCTTTAGGCCTCAGTGATCTGACCTATAAAATGGGGGTGGGGGTGGTCTGTACATTGGAGGCAGGACTTGGGCAGATGCCAGGGTCCCCCTGGGTCTCACTCTGAATGATTTATAGGAGAGGAAAGGGCAGTGACATGGAATGGCCATCTGGATCCCAGATGGGGCAGGGGCCGGGCACAAAGGTTAGTGTGTCCTCCCCCTAGCCAAGGCCATCAGAGTGGACATACCCTTTGTGAGTATTAGAACCAGGCACCGGAGAAGGACACAGCCCACGTGGGTGCAGTGTTGTGGGAAAGAAAACGTGCTTGCCTTTCGCTGCCGTGGGCTGCGGGGCAGTCTGAGCTTGCTCCAGGGCCTTTTGTCCCCTCAAGCTCCACGACTCACAGCAGCCCTGTAAGACACAGGAGAACTGTCCCTTAGGGCTTCTGAGGTTGTATATCTTTAAGGAAGCAGATGGCCATCTTTCTACCCCAGAGCCGATGGTGGCTTCAAACGACTGACCTTTTGGTTAGCAGTCCAATGCTTAACTCACTCCACCACCAGAGCTGCTTTGGGTCCCCTGTCAGGTGCACTTGTTCAGTGCCTAATGAGACAGCTGTATGCGCTGGCCTTGTTAGCACCAACCCCGGCTGCCCTGGGCCACACAAGGTGGGCATGCACCTTGCAGCCAGCCCAGTTCAGTGGACCAGCAGTGCCTCCACCTCTGCTCCTTGAAGGCATCTATGAAGCGGTTCTGCTGGTCCTGGGGCTTGACTGTGCCACCCACCTCCCCGCAGTCTGGAGCAGCGGTCTGGGGGCTGGCCATGTGGAATGTGGGTGACTCCAGCTGGCTCCAGCATCGGGGTGCGGGGGTGCGGGACACAGTGTCTCTCAGCTATAAACCCAGCCAGATTCAGGACTCAGTGGCGGGGATCTGCTGGTCCATGGCCCCCAACATTAGAAGCTAGTCACCAAACGAGACATGCTAACTGGGCTGTACCCTAACCATAGCTTGGCCATGGTGAGAGGGCCACAAACATACATCCAGGCACATACTGTCAACACAAAAGACACACAAATGCAAATAAAAACACACATACACACCCCACAAGACACAACAGGCACATAGATGCCAGCAGCAAAAGACATACACATAGCTTGTCCACCTTTATGGCTGTATGAACCATTTCCTTGATACAAACCTCTCCTCTCTCTCTCTCTTTCTCTCTGGTAGCGTAGTGGTTACGAATTGGGCTGCAAACCACAAGGTCAGCAGTTTGAAACTACCAGCTGTTCCACTGGAGAAAGATGAGGCTTTCTGCTCCCGTAAAGATTTATAGCCTCGGAAACCCTATACAGGGTCACTATAGGTTGGAACCGACTCTGCGTCACTTAACAACAACAACGACACACAGATTCAGAAACATAAGAGCACAAAATCTAGCACCAACACAGGTACACAGGCAGACCTACAGACACCCCAACACACACAGACACACAGACGCGCCCTCCCCCTTCCCCCGCACCGTCTCCATTTCCCCTTCGTCTGTGAGTATCCCATTACAGGTCACATTCCCTGCTCACGAGCTGCTATGTTGCTTAATGGGATCTGGTGTCCACCACCGGAGCCTGTTACACCCTCTCTGCAATGCCTCCACATCTCCAGGACCTGGGCTCTGGGACACGTGAGCTGGGCCCAGCCATGCTGTGAGTCCTGCCCAAGGGGACTCCTCATAGTCCCTGCCTCCTTCCCGGCTACAACAGGAGCAGGGCAGTACGGACAGGGTGACCCAGGGCTGGGTGGTAGGGAGACAGCATCCAGAAAGCAGAGGCCAAGCCAAGATGGTTCTAGAACCCCTGCTGGGGCAAGTGCTGACTCTCCCCTCTCATGGGGGAGACACAGACAGAGGTAGACAGGCCTGCCCTAGGTCATGAAGCCCAGCAGCAACCTGTAGGGTCATCAGCTGAGTTAAGGGCTCAGCTGAGTTAAGGCTTCCTGGAGGAGGGTGAGCGGACTTGAAATGAAATGGGCCATGGGACACACTGAAGGAGGTAAGGCTGGGCCAGGGGAGGTGGGGACAAAGTGCCCAGTGTAAAAGGGGGCTGGCCAGATTACAAAGGGATTTCAGGGCCATGCTAAGGAGCCCTACTTTGTCCCCCTCCGGAACTATGAGACTCTATGAGAGTAGAGACCACGTGTGTCTGGGTCGTGGCTGAAACTCCAAAGCCTACAACAGTGCCTGGCACAATGATAGATGCTCAGTGCGCATTAGATCAGCACTCGTCATTGAATGAAAGAAAGGAAGAAAGGCCCCAGCTATGGGCTTCCAAACGTCACCAACCCAGACCCCAGGATGTAAATCCCCGCATCTGTACAGCCTATCAGCTGAGCCTCTGCTGTGACTGTGCTCTCTAGGGCCCCGGTGTAGGTGTCCCAACACAGGGACCACACCTTGTCCTCCAGTCCCATAGCAAGGTGCTGGACCCAGAACCCCATCAAATGTTCCATCAAGCTCTCCTCCGTGTCTTCCCCATCTCTCTGTTGGGATAGATGCCTTCTGCACCGTCTCTTTCTGGGTCCTCTGAAAACACACTACACACACAACATCACTCACATATGTACACACTCCATACACATCACATGCATATACACATATATCACATACATACATACATACATACATACATATACCACACAATAATACATGGCGTCTTGGTGTGGTGCTGTGGCCAATACGTCAGACTGCAAAGTCGTTTGAACTGCAAGGTCGATGGTTTAAGCACACCAACTGCTCCTCGGAAACCCTATACAGAGTCGCTATGGGTTGGAATCGACTCAACGGCACTTCACAACAACACATGCATAATACACATTATACATACTATGCATACCACAGACATGTATGTGTGTGTATATATATATACACACACACACACACACACATACCACAGAGACCCATACAACACACAATACACCCCCACATCACACACATACACATACACACATGTATACACGCAGGCACAATACCACATGCTACACACACATATACACACAGCACATCTTACAACACACAGAGATACCACACCATACACACATATACACACACAGACACCACACATATACCCACACACATCACACACCACACACTACACATACACCTTCTTCAGAAAAAGAAAAGAAAACCCGTGTTTATCACGCTGTAAAATGTAATGCCTAGCTCTCCTCAAAGGTTTCCGCAGCCCCTCCTGCCCACCCAGGGCCCCACCTACGCGGTATGAGGGGGGATTGCACCCCACATTGAGACAGGAGACCCGAGCAGACACTCACTGGGCCATGAGGTGACCTGATTAACACAGAGGTCCTCCCAGGAGCTCTGAGCTGGCCTGCAGCAGTGTTCTGAAAGAGTGAAGTGGCACAGTGGGCCACTCCCTGGCCCTCGGTGGGGTGTCCTGTGTCTGAGTCCTCCTCAGCCCTGGAATATTCTGTGGTTCAGGGAACAGTTCTGTGGGAATGGGTGGTCCTTAAGATGTCAGAGAGGAAACTGGGGGGCCATTCAGAGTGTCACGTCCCCCATCTATCTGTGTCCCATGCCTGCCCCCTGTGGCCTCCAGGCCCCTCGGACACATGCCTTCGGGAGCTCTGTTTTCCTACTAACCAGCTGTTGAGCCCATGGGCTGGTGGCTCTGCATGTCACCACATGACCCAGGCCAGATGGTCCCCATCAACATCCGCTGCCACTGTGCTGTGCTGGGCACCACCTCACATGGACTGTGTGCGTCAGGAGAAGGACTGATGGCATGGTGCCCAGCATCTGTCCTCGCCCTGCTGCCCCCGCTGCCCCCGTGGGCCTCTGGGCACTACACCCCCACACCAATGCGTCAGCACGGCTCCCACCAGTGTCTCCATACTGTCCCCGGAGGGAGGCCCCTTTGTGCTCTTGCAGAAAAGATGAAGGCCCACGGAATATTCTCAGCACTCAGCAGGCTGTGGGGGTTTAATGAAGGTTAATCATCCACATCGCATACCTCAGAAAGTTCTCAGAAATATCCATGGGTGGGGGGGAGTGAGGGGCTTTAGGTGGCAGTTACAATCATTACCTGCTGGAAGGAGTGGCTTGGCTGAATGCACAAAGGCTGATCACTAGCAGGTCAGTGGAGATGCTTCTAGAAGGGCCTTAGATGAAAGGCGGGTTCCTGGCCTTTGTGTAAAGGTGCCAGGCTGATCAACAACCCAGGTCCTAACAGAGAAGGACCAGCATCCAGAGAGGGAAGTTTTGTTTTTTTTAACCTTTTTGAAAATTGTGGTGAAAATATACACAACGAAGCATTCGCTCAGTCAGCAATTTCTCCATGTATAATTCAGTGATATTGATTACATTCTTTATGCTGTGCAACTGCTTTCTCTACCTTTCTCCAAATTATTCACCATCATTAGCCTAAACTCAATACCTCCTAACCAATGACTCCCCCTCCCCTTCCCTTCCACCCCTGGGAACCACTAATTATCTTT